GGATGCCGTCTTGGTGTGCTGACAAAACTAAGTGTCTGTATATGAAAACCTGAAGACCATTGTAAAAGGAGCCAGGCTGCTGGCTGCCCTACCAGACGAAGCAGCACATTCTCCGTGTTGCTGTGATGAAATGACTTTTCCCCCCAATTCTGTTCTTCACTTAATATTTTCTCATATGCATTTCTCTCCGCCACGCCCCACCCTCCTGCCCGCCTCTCCTCTCGGCAGGCATGTGGGATCTTAGTTCCCAAACCCAGGATCTAGCCTGCGCCCCCTGCAGTGGAAGCACAGAGTCTTAACCACTGGACCGCCAGGGAAACCCCTCATGTGCGTTTCTAAATATGTTGCAGTATAATTTTTAGATCTATTATTAACTGTAAGATATTACATCTAGTTACATTACCATCTAACTTCCTCCATTGTGGAATATTGAGGCCATTTTCAGTGTCTTGTCTGATAAATGATTCTACTCTCAAAATCTTCCTACAAAAAGATTTTTCCTCTTTTGCACTTTTTCTTTAGAAGTTCTCAAAATGGGATTATCGGCTCATAGGGTTTGTCAAACTGAACCAATTCACCTTATCACCAATGATGTGGATTTATATATATTTTTTCCTTATAGTCATGCTACTTTGGTTTCTATTATTGAAATATTTGATGAATGAATTCCTTCGAACATACAAGGTAGAAATAATAGCAATCCTACACAAACTCTTTCAGAAAATATAGAAGGAAGAAGTACTTTCCAAATCACATTGAGAGACCACTATAACCTGATACCAAAACTAGATGAGGACATTTCAAGGAAAGAAAATGACAGGTGAATATCCCTTGTGAACTTAGGTGTAAAAAACCTTAGCAAATTAAACCTAGCAATGTAATGGAATAAAAATAGTGATGTTCTGCTATTTCTTGATGTATTAATTTTTAGACATTTTTAGACATTATCTACAGACTATTCTGATAGATGAGGATTTAGCTCTCTTACACCATTATTTCCTCTGCTTCCCCTTCTCCCCCCAAATAGTTACATTAAAATTTTATTAATTCAGCATTCACTGTTCCCATTATTATGCCTATGTAAATATTACTTATAGCTGCGCATTTTACCATACTAGGGTTTCTTTTTGTATTTTTTCTGCAAATTATGTTTGCCTTGCTTTTTAAATTTGCTTAGTATTCTATTGCTAACTTTTCCCACTCTTTTTAATAGTCTCTCAGCATACTTTTCCACAGGATAATCACATCAGGTAATCCATTAGTTCACTTTTTTGCCCCCTTGGTGATATCCTGCCTTTAGACCCCCATTCTCCATCTGTTTGGCTTGCTGTTCTCCAAGCCCGCTGACCAGCTGTCCTCCTGGGACTTCCCTTCGCTGTCATCCTTTGAATCCCCTCTTGGAATTTCTCTATAGTTTGATTCACCACTTCCTGGATCTCCGGTCTTCCTCTTTCTGGGTTTGCTTACTTAGCGTGGCCAAGGATCTCTGTCTCCAATTGGCTAAAATGATGATACAGTCACACAGAAATCTAGACCACAGATATTTCTAATGATACCCCGTCACTCCTTGGAGCCAAACACTTGGGAAGCTTTTATGTTGCTGGGGGTGAAACAAAGTCCCCAAAGCAGGCAGGAGGAGTGCTGTGAGGTCACACTGGTGGAGGACCCAGGAGTGCACTTCTCCTGCACCTCTTCCCACGAGTGGAAGATGGATTCCATTTCACCCTCCCTGGAGGGAGTACCTCTGTCAAGTTGGACCACAGCTCAGTGGGCTCCAGAGGGACAGCTGTAGCTCTCACCTGCTGTCACCATGTCTTGTCTTGTACTTTTATTTTCCCAAAGATACTATAAGCTGCCTGAGGGCGAGATGATGTCTTATTATATTTAGATTGAGCTTCAGTGTCGTTCTAGTTAGGTTTTAGGAGAGAGTGAAATAGATGGGTGTGTTTAATCCACCATCTTAACCCAGAAGTCCTTTGAAGCACTTTTATCAGTTGGCTTCAGTGACACTGTGTTCTCTTGACTGTCATCTTAGTTCACTTGGTGTTCAACCCTAGTCTCTTGCTGGGTCCCCCTCCTCTTTCTGAACTCTACATGTTGCAGGGCCTCAGGGCTTGACCTTCTCTTCTTTTTTCTGGATTCATTCCTTAGGTGGCTTCATCCACTCCTAGGCCTGTAAATCCCATCATTATGCTTATGCTTCCCAAATTTATCCCTCTGGACCTTCCTTCTGAATTCAGAACTCCTTTCCCAGAGTCTTCCCTTGCATGGCTGAGAAGCATCTCACCCATCCACCCTCCCTTCCCCTGCCCGGCTTCTCCCCAAGCATTCTCCACAGTAAAGGGCCCCACCATAAACCAGCAACTTAGGCTAATTACTTGGTGTCATTCCTTGATTTCTCTCTGAATCTCACATCCAATCTCTCAGAAAATCCTGAAGACTCTATTTTGAAAATATAGTCCAAATTGGGCCGCTTCTCATCACCTTAACCACTCCGTCAGATGTTGCCCTAAGCAGAAAAGCTTTCTGGAGCATGTGTATAAGATAGCACCCTTTTCAGCACAGCGCCCTCTGTACATATGTGAGTATCCAGTCCCAGTGAGGCGCCACAGAATAGATTCTATTTTTCTTCCTTTCCGTATCTGTAACTCCCTCCACCAACAGTGAAAAACCTGGCTCCTATCATCCTCAGCTAAAAGGGGTCTTAGAGATAGAATCTGAGGCCCTGGCACTCCAGAGCAGAAACAGAGTAATCAAGAAGGGAAGTGAGGGACTTCCCTGGTGGTCCAGTGAGTGGGACTCCGTGCTCCCGATACAGTAGGTCCGGGTTTGATCCCTGGTCGGGGAACTAGATCCCTCATGCGTGCGCAACTAAGAGTCTGCATGCCGCAACTAAGAAGTCTGCATGCTGCAACTGAAAGATCATGCATGCCCAGCGAGGATCCCGTTTGCTGAAGCTGAGACCGGCTCAGCCTAAATAAATAATAAAATATATATAAAAAAAAAAAGTGGAGTGAGTAGCTGACCCAAGACGACACTAGGTAGCTTGAACAGAATTTTTACGTTTGAAAACTGTGTAACAAGGTGCTTAGTGTTAGAGGAGCGCTAATGATACGCTATTATAATTTACTTTTAAATGCTCTTTTTGCGTAATTTCTTTTTTTTTTTTCCGCGCCACGCGGGCCTCTCACTGCTGTGGCCCCTCCCGCCGCGGAGCACAGGCTCCGGGTGTGCAGGCTCAGCGGCCATGGCTCACGGGCCCAGCCGCTCCGCGGCATGTGGGATCCTCCCGGACCGGGGCGCGAACCCGTGTCCCCCGCATCAGCAGGTGGACTCTCAACCACTGCGCCACCAGGGAAGCCCCGTAATTTCTTTTGGGAAATGTACTTAGAGACTAAAATTGCCTGGTACTGAATAACCTTATATTAATACTTAATTCATTACATAATCAACATATATTCTATTTTTTTCTGGGTAAAAAATTGAGGCTGGGGGAAAGCACGTCCCCTGAAATGTCCTCTTCTTAGTTGTATCTTTCTAGGCCTTCTTTCTAGACAGGTGAGATCTTCTGGCATTTGTACCTTTATGTCGCTAGAATAAGGAAGGGAGTTTGGAGAAAAGCTACTTCAGCCCAGGAATGTCCCAGCTCTTCTTCATGGAAGTGGCCTCTTCATTTCCTCCACATTGTCCCACTGTTCCAGCTTCCCCTTATCTGCTTGAAAGGATTTCCTGAACATCTGGCCTGTGACAACAGTGGTCTCATAGCCCCTCCCGGAGGCTGGAAGTGACTTTTTTGGGTCACCTTGACACAAGTACTCCAGAGCTTCCTCCCTGGTGTACATATTAGTTCTGGCTGAGGATCACAACATTGTTTAATGTTTGATTTGTAAAAACAGTTAAGTCTAACTGGTGGGCGGGGGTCTTTGAAAATAAATGTACTCTCTCTGTAGTTCGTTTTGCTCATTGCCTAATATTTTTTTTAAAAAATGCTCTCGGAGCAGGTACCGTTTTCTGATTCACACAAAGGACCTACTGGGGCCACTGTTTGCCCTGGTTATGTAAGCTTAGAGTCAGGGAGGAAGTGCTGGGAGCAGTGGCATGAGGTTTAGATGCTGTAATAGAGGACAGGGCAGGGAGATGTGAACAGGATGCAGCCAGCTACCAGAGAGGAATGGTGTGAGGAAAGAACCAAGATGCCTATGTGGGCGTCTACTTATTATGACCTTCTGTTGCCTGGTGTGCAATGTAAATCTCTTCCTTACCATCAGTAAAATCTTCATTACCTTAAAAAAAAAAGTGCTGGGGCTTCCCTGGTGGCACAGTGGTTGGGAGTCCACCTGCCAATGCAGGGGTCACGGGTTCAATCCCTGGTCCGGGAAGATCCCACATGCCGTGAAGCCTAGAGGGGAGTCCGCGTGCAGCAACGAAGACCCAATGCAAGCATAAATAAATAAAAAATTTAAAAATTAAGAAAAAAGTGCTGCCTAGGGGATCTGAAGAAACCATGTGCCCACCTGTGGAAGATGAGTTAGGCTTCAAGGCCATCAGTTGGGGCAACTTGAAAAAATAAACAGCATCTTTCATGCTTGATATTTACTAATAACTTGCCATCAACAAAAAGCTCCTTTTTTGTTACCTGCCTGGTAACTTGAGACAGAGCTCAAGTTACCAGGCAGGTTCCCAGTGGTGCCACAGATGTTCGAGGTAGGTGGTCTTAAGTACCCGTTGAAATCCCTTTGGGTCTTCCTGGTCCCTCCCTATAGACGTAGATGTTACATTGTTGTTACCTTGCTGTCCCTGGAATTCAGCAGTGTTCTGATCATGTGTTCTCTACACTTTGGACCCCTGGAATGCCTGTCGCATGAGTTAGATGACTGTATGTGTGACCTAGGATTTTCCACTACTTAAGCCTGGCTTGGTTTGCTTTTTTCTTTTTTTGAGCTGAATTCCATGGCAACACTAAAGAATGTGTCTGTGTTGCTTTTTTTTTTTTTCAATAGGGTACCAGAACATCTTGTGAAGAACATAACTTGGCAGACATTGCAAGCCGTAAATTTTTGCCATAAACACAATGTAAGTCTCATGATCTCCCTCTAAAAACCAGAAGGCTGCCCTTAAGCTGAGATGGAGCCTTTGTACGAAGTTTATATCATACTTTTGTGGATAGAATTTTTTACCCAAATCTTTGTAAGCCTGGCTGGGGTAAGTAGACGCTAAAAATGCCAACCTAGCTAGTCCTTCTTGTTCAGGTTTTAAAGATGCATTTTTATGATTTTAAGAAAGTAGTTATTTTTACGTTGCTTAGGAACTGCTCAGATTTAAGGTAGAATCCCATTCACTTGGAGTCCGTGTTGGTCTGGAACCCTCAAAATACTCTGAAATTGGGGAGGGGAACCCCAGGTGGCTTATGCTTGTTGAGTGCAGTACGTGGAGTCTCAAGTGCCATGCACACGTACTAGTGTCTGCATTGGTGAGATAGAGGTGCCAAGTCTGCAACAAAGCAGCCAGTGGAAACCTCTAGCACTCCCAGCCACAGCGAGGCTGGCGGGAAGCACAGTGGACCGCTGCCCAGGTGGTGTGACTTCACAGATGCTGGGAACCCTGCTGTTCCTTCCAATACAACATGGCCCAGTCCCTGTGCACAGAAGCCAGACTCCAACATCAGAGCTTCATTTTGGCCACAAGGGCAATTTACCGCAATATGTCATCCTGACAACAGCCAGGGTCCAATTTCACTGGTGGGGCTGAATCCCCTTCCTCACGCTGTTCTAAATGGTTTTTTTTTTCCCTGAAGCTGCCTTCCCAGAGAAGGAAATACGAGAGTAGGCGGCACTTCTCCCGGCTGTTCCTCCACCTAGCTCACGGCTACAGTCCTTGTCCAAATGCATGCATAGCAGGGAGCATGGACACCTTATAGGTACTGCGAGTGAGGGCTAGCAGTTTCCTGAGAGCAGGTTTTAGGATGGGGGAGCAAGAGAGACTGCAGAAAGGCCCTGGTGGGGAAAAGCGGAGACACTAAGAACAAATATAACGCATACCACAGTTCCCTGGAGAGCCCCTGAAGCTGTTTGGCCACGTGTGCATGGGGGGAGGGTTGTAGAAACTTGTAAAGAATTCCCAGAGCAGAATAGGAGCACATTCTTGCTTACAAGTACTTCTGACCATCTGTCATCATGATATTCAGGGGTGCACTCATTTATGGTAATATTTGAAGCCAGTGGTAAAAAAAAAGTGGAGATCTCAGGGCCATTATTTGCTGAGAATCAGATAGATTGTAATAAAATAATTCAGTTATTTCCCCCCAGTTTTTCCAGAATAATAAATACCCATGGGGAAACACACTGAGGTCTCACCCCGAAGATCCTTTGGAGTGAGAACTAGGCCAGGCCCAAGAGGAAACTGTGTCATCTCTCCAGATTCTGGAGAGTCAAGAACATCCCAGGGTATCAGCCGCAAGCCAGAGAGGGCCTCTCAGATTGCAGAAGTCTCCAACATTCTCCTCTAGAGAGGAAAACACTTGGAAGAAGGGAAGGTTATTAGGAACCTGAACAGTACTATGACCCCACGGTTGTTTTTATGTAATTTTAATTAGGTTGTTGATTTGTTCCTTGCCAAAAAATTGTTATTTAATAAGAAAATCATGTGAAGATTCTTAAACATTCTTCCAGCATCACCCTGTTAAGCAATGTCAGCTGTACTCTGGAAACCACAGGTGATTTGTGTCTAAACTCTGGCATGGGGACTACATCCCGTGGGGTGGAGGCACAGAAAGAAGGCTGGATGTGTGTGAGATGGAGCTGACATCTAGCGACTCCCCAGAGGGTGAGCACTGCCTGCTCTTATTTATCTAGTGGGGACGAATGTCAGAGCTGGAAGGGAGGTCTCTTGGCAAGCTGCTGCTTCCCGCCCTTCTCTTTCCCAGCTTATCTCAGTAGGCCCAGGGCTTGTCCTGTTTACCAGGCGGAATGTGTTCTGTTCTCAGTTAAACAACTGGATTGTGAATTCTGCTTAGGCACCAACTTGCAGCTCCTGCAGCCATGCTGCAGGCCTCACCCAGAGCCTTTTAACATTTTCCCTGTCACCTAAGGTAGCCAGATGAAATACAGGACACCCAGTTAAATGTGAATTTCAGGTGAACATTCATAACCCTTTAGTATAAATATGTCCCAAACATTGCGTGGGGCATACTTATACTAAAAGATTATTTGTTTTTTATCTGGCTACCCTACTTTCATTTTTCCTTTCACACTTGTTGGTCTTTAGGGGCCCTTCAGGAATTTGGGCTGACTCAGGCTGTGATGGGCATGGTACTAGGTTTATGGTACTAGGCTGCTGTTCTGTAGTCTGTTTTCCAAAAGGCCAGTGAGAGGTTCAAACGATTTCTCAAATATTTGCTAAATATTCATATGTTTTATTTAGTCCATGTATTGTAGTTGCTCCTTTCTAATCTGCTTTGGTTTGGTGTTTGTGATTAGTGCATACACAGAGACGTAAAGCCAGAAAACATCCTCGTCACAAAACATTCTGTGATTAAGCTTTGCGACTTTGGATTCGCTCGGCTTTTAAGTGAGTATTGAAGTTTTCTTTAGTTAAGTGTCAAAGCTGGAAAGATTTTTAACATGATAAAGAATCTAAATGCTATAGAAAGCTGGTTCCTGTATATTTAGGGCATAAGCTTGCTATAAATTACACGTCTGCAATTAATTGAAAACATGTCGATATACACTGGTTTAAAATGTATGCTATCTGTCAATTTTACCACAGTAAAGTGCTTATTAAAAAGTATGTTACCCTCCTGGTTTCTACCATGTTTTGCTAAAATAGTACATTTTAGAACTACTGTTTTAGAAGAGTGGTTTTCAACCTCGGCTGTAGATTAGAATCATCTGGGAAACTATAAACTCTAACTATAAAAACTATACTGATACCCCTCCAGGGATTCTGGTTTAATTGGACTGGGGGGGGTACCCAAACATCAGTAATTTTTAAAATACTGTATTCCAAGTGATTTTAATGTGCACCCAGTATTGTGAACCACTGATTTAGGAAAACCACAGATGGAACACAAGCTTGATTTCTCAGGTCTTCCCCCTCCTGGTTTTGATTCCTCGCTTGCACTGCTCTCTCTGTTTTCCATGTCCCATCACTGGCCAGCTGGACCAAGTGACTACTACACAGACTATGTGGCCACCAGGTGGTACCGCTCCCCAGAGCTGTTGGTGGGGGACATGCAGTACGGCCCCCCAGTAGACGTTTGGGCAATTGGCTGTGTCTTTGCTGAGCTGCTGTCAGGAGTGCCTCTGTGGCCCGGGAAATCAGATGTGGATCAGCTCTATCTGATTAGGAAAACCTTGGGTAAGTGGTGTTTCTGTCCCGCCTTTTGGAAACTGGATAGTTTTACCCGTGTCAGTGCTGGGCAGAGCCAAGTTCCTAGTCTAATCTAATGCCCTTTACAGTCACAAAGAGGGAAAGTCTCAATGAAATGGCTCCATTAAAGGTGTCTGGGTTTGTTTTAAGAAAAAGAATCAACAATTTTGAGTATGTTCTAATTGTCCAAAAAGACACAAGATTCTCTCTTCAACATAGTTTGGATCAAGTTAAACTCCGAATAATGATGATAGCAACAATAAAAACATACATTTCTATAAGGGCCTAGCAGTCTACAGAATGCTGTTGTGTTTCGCTTCATTTATTATGATGTGGTAATTCATTCTCTGGATGTCCTCGACTCCAGCCTGTCAGGCTAGTTCGGATTATTCAGATGCTATTTAGAAGATGCTCAACCTTCTAAGTGTCGGGAAGAAAGCCTGGTTCTTCTTATGTCACCCTTCTTGTTTTACTTTCCCACCCCCAAAGTCCTTTCCTTTGTTTCTACTCTTGGGGAATAGGGGGGAGGAGAAGAGAGGGAAGGAAGGGACAGATGAACAGATCTGTGAGCAGTCATTGATCCCTTCAGAAGTCAGGGAGTTGAGCTATGACTCCCAGTTTGAAGCAAACTTTTTTTCCTTGAAACTCATGTAGCGTCTGCTGTTGCCATGTCTTGTCTTGTACTTGTGTCTTGTGCTTGCATCATTCCAAAGGTGCTGTAAGCTGCCTGAGGCTGAGATCCTGTCTTTTATTTCTATTTATCCTCCACCAACATCTGCACACAGTAGGCAGTAAATATTTGCTGGTAGCTTTTGTTGAGTGACTTGTAAGTCACCTTGGAGCCCTGCCAGGGGCACTGTGTTTTCCCAGTGATTTTAGGGCACTATGTCCATGTCCTACCCCCCAGCTCTCTGGTGGAAGAAGGTTATTAAGGTACAGACAGTGTGCTCATGAGGAAGCTCACTGAGACCTGGGACAAGGCATTAGAGAGCATATTTTGTCTGCTCGTCCAAAATGGGCAAGGACAGCAGTTTTTGGATTTGAGTGAAAGGTAAAGTTCCGAGACAAACTGGTAAATTTAGCCAACTTGATACCCTGAGGTTGGAACTCCAGCCCAGTCCAATAGCAGCGTTTCCGGGGCCCTGGCTGGCAGGCTTTCACTGTTCACTCTGCTCTGGGAAGTGGGCCTGGGTGTGCCAGGGGTGCCCTTCTGAGCATCTCCATCTGTTCTCTGAACAAAATTCCTCTTCAGATGTCATATCCCTGGAATTTTACATGAGGGCGATTTTAGCTTATTTGGCTGAAATGTGGGCAGGTGAGCCTCACATAATCCCCCAGAATATAGAAATGCTCCTTTTGTTTTATTACTTCACATCTTTAGTGCTTCTAGACAGTACATAAAGTGGGATTTCCAAGTGATTGCTATTTGGTAAAACAAGTAAAGGTGGTTCCAATTTGGAAACATATTCCTTCTAGCTAGATCTTTCATGCTTTGTTTCCTCCCTCCCTCCTTCCCTTTCTCTGCTCCTTTCCTAACCCTTAACCCTTCCTTTCTCAGATATTTATTGAGTGCTTGCTACGTGTCAGGCCCTGTTCTAAGCGCTAGGCCAATACACTTTTATCTCGACCCATCAGCATTCAGTGAACACGATTTTGATTTGTGGTTGTTGCACTTTTGCTATTTTTTTAAATTTAATTTAATTAATTTAATTTTTATGCAGCAGGTTCTTATTACTTATCTGTTTTATACATATTGGTGTATACATGTCAATCCCAATCTCCCAATTCATCCCACCACCACCACCACCACCCCCCGCCGCTTCCTCCCCTTGGTGTCCATACGTTTGTTACATCTGTGTCTCTATTTCTGCTCTGCAAATGGTTCATCTGCACCATTTTTCTAGATTCCACAAATATGCATTAATATACGATATTTGTTTTTCTCTTTCTTTCACTCTGTATTACAGTCTCTAGGTCCATCCATGTCTATACAAATGACCCAGTTTCCTTCCTTTTTATGGCTGAATAATATTCCATTGTGTACATGTACCACATCTTCTTTATCCGTTCGCCTGTTGATGGGCGTTTAGGTTGCTTCCGTGACCTGGCTATCGTAAATAGTGCTGCAGTGCACATTGGGGTGCATGTATCTTTTTGAATTATGGTTTTCTCAGGGTATACGCCCAGTAGTGGGATTGCTGGGTTGTATGGTAGTTCTAGTTTTAGTTTTTTAAGGAGCCTCCATACTGTTCTCCATAGTGGCTGTATCAATTTGCATTCCCACCAACAGTGCAAGAGGGTTCCCTTTTCTCCACACCCTCTCCAGCATACATTTGCTATTTAAAAAAAGCCATTATTTGTTAGTGTGTGTATGTGTGTGTGCACACACACGCTTCTGAGTTGTTTGGTTTGGACTCCTCAAACATTTTGTGAGCCTTTGAGGGGCAAGAACGTTGCAGCCTTTAGTTTCCGTTCATGCCTCCTCTGTGCCTAACACAGTACTCCACCCACTGTGGGTCTCGGCACGGTTTGTTGAAAGTTCCCTCAGTGCCTCTCCCTCTGATTGGAGAAGCAAATTGCAGCCTTTGTAGGTATAGGCACTGACCAACACAGCACCAGTGGAAGGAAACCGTAGAGCAGTGCTTGCTAAGTGATCTAATTTTCTTTGAGAGGATGAAAAAGACTTTATTTTCTATTTATTTCTTTTTTGTGGGTTTTTTGGGTTTGTTTTTTTTAATTTTTATTGATGTATAGTTGTTTTATAATATGTTAATTTCAGGGAGCTATACTCAGTATTTTGTAATATATACAACCTATCTAATTTTACCTTTCTCTTTCTTCTTGTCCAAAGGAGACCTCATTCCTAGGCACCATCAAGTATTTAGCACAAATCAGTACTTCAGTGGGGTAAAAATTCCAGACCCTGAATATATGGTGAGTGACCCACTTTGGAAAGAGCTCTGCATGTCAGAGCTAAGGTTACCAGGGTGTTTAAGGGGGGATCATTCTCACTCGATGAATATACATGAGGAGTTGCAGGCTAACTAGGTTTTGGTAGTTATGCACCAGCCTGAGCCCCATGGTCCACTTGGCAACGGAAGATCAGTCTAAGAGTAAAAAAGAAAACTGGGGCAAATTGGCTAGCAAGATCATGGCCTTCAGTGCTAAGTTACAGATTGCTGATAGCCGAGCTTTGCCAGCATGTTGGACAGGAATGCAGAGCTACCTGCCCCAGCCTCACCTGTCCTTCATCATTTTCAGCAGTGGAAGCTATGAAGCTCAGAGCCAATTAACTTTTAGACAATGACTCATCCAGGGAAAATCCAGCGTTGTCCAAACCCCCTACTCTACTGTGCTTTCACTCCCAGACTGGGGGAACACGGTGATGAACTTCTTGGCCAGCCTTACTCTCATACCTGTCCCCTATGGCCAATGTGTGGAAAACACTTAGTTTTCAAAAATTGAAGAAAATTTAAAACGTGCATATCCTAACCCACTTTCAAGAATTTATTCCAATGAAACTATTAGACAAAAGCATAAAGATATGACATTCTTCTTTTTAATTGGGGTATAGTTGGTTTACAGTGTTGTGTTAGTACAGCAAAGTGGAGTGCCCTGTGCTATACAGCAGGTTCTCATTTTATACATATTAGTGTATATGTGTCAATCCCAGTCTCCCAGTTCATCCCACCACCACCCCTCTTCCCCCTTGGTGTCCATACGTTTGTTCTCTACATCTCTGTCTCTGTTTCTACCTTGCAAATTGGTTCACCTGTACCCTTTTTCTAGATTCCACATATATGCGTTAATATACGATATTTGTTTTTCTCTTTCTGACTTACTTCACTCTGTATGACAGTGTCTAGGTCCATCCACATCTCTACAAATGACCCAGTTTCATTCCTTTTTATGGCTGAATAACATTCCATCATATATATATACCACATCTTCTTTATCCTGTCATCTGTTGATGGACATTTAGGTTGCTTCAGTGACCTGGCTATTGTAAATTGAGCTGCAATGAACATTGGGGTGCATGTGTCGTTTTGAATTGTGTTATCTCAGGGTATATGCCCAGAAGTGGGATTGCTGTGTCATAGGGTAATTCTATTTTTAGTTTTTTAAGGAACCTTCATACCGTTCTCCATAGTGGCTCTATCAGTTTACATTCCCACCAACAGTGCAAGAGGGTTCCCTTTTCTCCACACCCTCTCCAGCATTTATTGTTTCTAGATTTTTTGATGATGGCCATTCTGACTGGTGTGAGATGATATCTCATTGTAGTTTCGATTTGCATTTCTCATGACATTCTTTAATAGAAATCATTTCCTTTAGTGTTCCATCAGTAGGGAATTAATTAAATAAGTTATGGTATGTCCTTACAATAGAAGTACCACATAGCTAATAAAAATAGATTCATATGTAATCACCTAAAAAAAAGTCCGCAACATATTGCTAAATGAAAAAGAAAGTTACAAAACAGTATATATAATTTGACATAAAATTAATAAATATTTAATAAATATACACATTTACATGTATAAATATTTAATAAAACATACATTTACATGTATAAATATAAAATAATATGACAACCTCTGGAAAATCAGGCAAAGATTTTTACATTAGTGAAATAAACGGCTGCAAAGATATATACCAAAATATTAACAGTGAATGTCTCTTTGTGGTGGGATGATTTGTTTCTTTCTTTATGGTTTTTTAATATTTTCAAAAGTCTTCTAATGAGCCTGTATTATACTCAAAAACATTTCTGAACACAGTTAAGGTCTGTGAGATCCTGAGTTCCTACTGCCTAAGGAAGGTACTTTCAAACTGAAACTAACCCTTCTCCATTACTCAGTTTCCAGATGGAAGGTCCATCCACTTCCACTGGAGCTGTCTGTTCTCCCAACCTCTTGGCCTGTCCTGCAGTGAAGTCTCCCACCTCCCACTTCCCCGCCACCCCTGCTCCTGCAGTGCTAGGAATAGAAAAAGTGGGGCAGCTGGGAGCCTGCGGGGCCACAGAAGCAGGAATGACACCTGGCATATGGGAGGTGACCCAGCCGGCTCCCTTGTGACCTGGACGTTCCCAGTTTCACACTAAATATCCCTTAGCGATTTCCTGTTCGCTTTTCAACCGGGGAAGCCTCCGAAACAACCCAGGTTTCATCAGTTTCATCAGTGTAAAAGGCTTCCTATGGTTTCCCAGAGGTTGTGCTGCAGGAGATTTCCTGTTGACAGAAACACAGGAAGAAGAAGTGAGGGGGCTGTGCTGGTTGAACATCTGTGCCCCAGTCCCTCTGTGGGTCAGCAACCCTGCCCCAGAGAGGCCTGCTTGCTTCTGGGGCAGGGAAACCGGCTAAGCAGGCGGGATGGGCCCATCCTATCACAGCCAGCCAGCCGGCCTCGTCCCAGGCGTCCTTGCTGAGACAGCAGGGCTCAATGTCAGCAATGTCAAGGCAATCCCCAGAGGTGCTCAGATTCAACACACAGAAATAGCAAGAGAAATAGTTTAGCTATGGGGGTGGAGAGGGCCGCTCTCAAAGGCTGATACAAATCCACTTTAGGATTTTTTTTTTTCCCTGTTGGTCTTAAGAGCCTCAGTTTTGGAGTTTCCTATCTCTTATTAGTGATGAATAACTGCACACTCAGGAATTGGTTGTTGTTGGCTGGTTCCCCTGTCCCAAGTAACACTGTGCTCTTAATCTTGATGGCAGCACCAGGGAACTGCCATCTTTAAACACACAACACACCTGGTCATTTATTTGACTCCACTTGGCTAGCTCTTAATTTCTCAGCTCCCCTCCTCTTTAGCCTCTTTATCAGCTGTATATCTCTTTAACTGGCCTGTCTGCCTGACATAGGCATTCCTTCTACTTTATAGTGTTTATTATTCCTGATTGTCTCCTGCCTGTGACTGGAGCAAAATAGCCTTACAGGGCCAAAGGGAGATTGATGAATTGTCTGCTCAGGAGACTCTTTAAACAGTAGGATGATCAGGGAAACAGCAGGCTCTTGTGGGATGAGAGAACAGTGTTTATTCCAGAAAACCAAGAAACATTTTCTGGGTCGGGAAAAAAATCTATTTTGTAGCTCCCTTTATGTAAATGTCAATGAATGCAATAATCAGAGCCCCTTTCTATAAATGCCAAAAATTATTCTAAGGCAAGGCAAGTTATATAAGTTGAGGCAGAAAAAAAGGAAATAACAATTGCTTGACGAGTGTTTTGGGTTTTTTTTCTCTCCTTAGTATTCCCTCACAATTTGCTACCTGCATCAGTTCTTCAGGAAGTGAAGGGGGTTAATGGTTAGGAAGAAAATTTGGAAAAGCAATTTGGAGCTTATAAAACAATTTGGAGGTGGGGAAAGAAGGAGCTTATGAAACAGACACAGGGAGGTGGGGTGGGCAGAGAGTGGAAGAGGCGAAGAAGGTGCCAGGAAGATGCTTCTCTCACTCAAAAGAAATTCAATCTGAGGTAACCTTATATTTGAATATATGCTGTAAATAAAATCCCTGTTTTCTTTTCTTTAACAGGAACCACTTGAATTAAAATTTCCAAACATCTCTTATCCTGCCCTGGGGCTCTTAAAGGTAAAATCATGGCTTCCAACAGACCTAGAAGCACACGGCAGCTGTATCACTAGGGAATCTGAATGATGTATGTCAATCCATGGATTGAAAAGTGTTCCTTTTAGAATTCTTCTTCTCCTTTGAAAAGTATACATATTTTCCATTTTTAAAAATGGGTCACATAACAGTGAAAACATCTGAAAGTATTTTTCACTTTAAATAAACTTAAACTGTATTTGAAATCTAAATTAACACAAAATAGAAATTTAAGATTGGGGGTGGTTTGTTTTACAAAAGGATCCTTTTCTTCAAAAAAATGTTTAGCCATAGGATTCTTTTAAATAGCCAACTCCCTAGTATATTGGAAATAGGTTTTGATTTTAAAACTTGATTTATATACACATTTTCAGAAATATAATAGCCCTTATGTAAAATGAGGTACCAATTAAAATGTTTGCAAGTTACAGACAATGTCCCACCCATTTCAAAAAGTATTTAAAACATTTACTGATGCATTTATAATTTTAAAAAATGAGACAGTTCCTTGGGGTATGTAATTGTGAGATTTAATCTATCCAAGTATGAGCCCTCTGGCCTATTTACTGGCAAAGCAAATAGTTAAGAATGATGTAACATAAAGAGATGTATATTATGCCTCTCCTTCCTTACATACACATAGATACTTGTAATGCATGGACTATTTCTGGAAGAATATACTTAAAATAACTGATTTTAGAAGGGAGAATGGAAGAACTAGAGTGCTGAAGAGACTCTGCTACATGCTGTATAAATTTTATTTTTACCATGTGTGATTTTTTAAATAAAAAACTAGTTTTTACTAAGTACAGGCAAGGAACCAAATGGGTTAGGTGGATTATTCTAGTGAGACACTGAGGTGAACTCAAAAATCGTATCCTACTCCCTCAGGGCAGAGCGCCAAATGCCTCAGGAACAGAACAAGGTGGAGAAAATGATTTTTTTTGTTACTATTCCTAGAAACTATTTATTAATTCATTATGTGGTTACCCATGAATGATTGTGGAAGGAACGAAAGTTTTCCCCCCTTTTGTTCCCAACTGAAGAGTTTAATCTTTCAAAGAAGAAAAAAATGACTTCAATAAGTTAATGCAATTTTAAAGAAGTAAGGAGAGGGTATTTTCTGTTCTTTCAGGGCTGTCTCCACATGAACCCTGCCGAGAGACTGACATGTGAGCAGCTGTTGGGGCATCCATATTTTGACAGCATCAGAGAAATAGGGGATTTGGCAAAAGAGCATGAGAAATCAACAGGGAAGACCCTAAGACAGAGCCGAAAGCACCTGCCGCGGGTAAAGATGGGGCACTGCTTTACAGAAGCATCCAAGGTTGTAATTTCAAATGAGCTCATACCTTCCACCTGGTGCAGAGAGTCTGAATCTATACTTGAGGTGGCAATTGTGGCTTGCAGCTCCAGCACCTTTATCCCTGCATGAGGACACACAGGTCACAAGATCTACCAACCAGGGTACCAAAGACATCTGCCTGCTAAGGGCCCTTCTCCCAGAAACCTAAAGGTGACCTTGCCCAGCAGCTCCCTGCTGCCAGCCAGGGGCCAGGGCTTTTGGTGTGCATGAGCACAGATCCCAGCCAGGGACAAGAAGCGTGCTTCTTATGCTTTGGAAAACGAAATCAAATTTATCCCGGTTAGCTCTCTGTCATCATGTCTACCTTCAGTATTGATTGACCTTCCAGGTTTTCCTCCCTGATCCGTTAATCCTCAGAGTTGGCTAGTGTAAATGTGGGGAGGAGTGCTTTCGGTGAGAGCAGCAGAACAGTGCATTTAACCAGATCACAGCATCCAAGCTGCACACTGGGAGCCTGCGGAGAATTGTGACTGGTGTAAAGTGGCAGAATGGCCTTACATTAAGTGTCTTGTCATAAGCCAAAAGCCGTAATAATTTAGGATGGACTGTAGTTGGAACCACAGTTAAGATGAGCTGGCTGCTCCTAGTTGCTTCCGGATCTGCTCAGGTACCCCTTAAGCTATAGATTATCTTGTCTTAGTCTTTCCCTTTGCAGCCTCCTCTGCCCAGTATGCTGAGTGGCACCTGGGTGGTGTTTGTGAGGTTTGGAGGAGAGAAGAGGGTGGACAGTCCATTATGAACAGGTACAGCATGAAACTCAGGGCCCTAAAAGACCAGAGTCATGAAATTAAGAATGCTTTGAATGCAAAACAGACTGGAAATAGACTTTCCCCTCAGAGTTACCCCTTATCTTGCTGTTTCTTTGTGTTCAAGAATCTTAGAACACTTGAATTACAGGGGATTTTAGAAAACCTCATCCCTTCTTTTAAAGAAACTGGAATTAAAACTTTAAAAAGTGGGACTTAGGGCTTCCCTGGTGGCACAGTGGTTCAGAGTCCGCCTGCCGATGCAGGGGACACGGGTTCGTGCCCCGGTCCGGGAAGATCCCACATGCCGCGGAGCAGCTGGGCCCATGAGCCATGGCCGCTGAGCCTATGCGTCCAGAGCCTGTGCTCCGCAACGGGAGAGGCCACAACAGTGAGAGGCTCGCGTACCGAAAAAAAAAAAAAAAAAGGGGGACTTCCCTGGTGGCACAGCAGTTAGGAATCTGCCTGCCAATGCAGGGGACATGGGTTAGAGCGCTGGTCCGGGAAGATCCCACATGCCGCAGAGCAACTAAGCCCATGCGCAACAACTGAGCCTGTGCTCTAGAGCCCGTGCGCCACAACTACTGAGCCCCTGTGCCACAACTACTGAAGCCCATGCGCCTAGAGCCCATGCTCTGCGACAAGAGAAGCCACCACAATGAGAAGCCTGTGCACCACAGCGAAGAGGAGCCCCCCCACCCACACAAAAACACCCGCCGCAGCCAAAAAAAAAAAAAAAAAAACTTAAAGTGGATTGTCAATGGCAGAAAGTGAGACTTGTAGCAGAGTTGTGACTAGAACCTCAGGATGAGCCACCTGCCCATAAATGCTACTGAAATAGGCACCAATTAAAAAAAAAAAAGAGGGTCTTGATGGAAATATTTTTACTTGAAAGACTAGGGGAACCCAACTAATTTGTGTGTTGCTTGTGGGTCCCAATTGTTTGATTTAAAAGTACTTGTTTTTCAGATACCTAAGGCCATATAGTACTGTACAAAAAAAAATGTATTCCCTTACTTTCATTTGACATTGACGATAAATTCAAACATTTTCTGGCAGCATGAAAAGAGCAGTTTTGCCTTTTTAACTAAGGTAGTAGGTGGGCAAATCACCTGAGTGCTCCAGACATCAGTTTTCTTCACTACAAGACAAGATATTGGCTTAAATGATCCCTAAGGTCCCAGCAAGCTCTTAACCCCCATGAATCTATGTTTTTTTCCAGTAATGTTAACATGTAGATTTTCCCTTCTTTTTCACATTCTCTAAATTTCCTTTAATGTGCATGTTTTGCTTTATAATATAAAATAAATATTGAAAAGAAAAAGCAGAGACCAAATTTATGGGAGGGCGTGAGCTCCACATCCTTCAATTCCACCCCTGAGCAGAGACCAAATTTAAACATTTTATCCTTTCTCAGATCCTGGATTCTGTGCAGAAAATGTATTTCTGTGCTGGAAAAGTTGTTTGTTTACCTCTTTTGGATGTGTTAGCAATAATGAAAAAAGTGTACGGCATTGAACGTAATTCTGTGTTTCATATTTTCAGTTGCAGTACCTACCTCAGCTGACTAGCAGCAGCATCCTCCCAGCTTTGGATAACAAGAAGTACTACTATAACACCAAGAAACTTAACTACCGTTTTCCAAACATTTAAAGAGCTTGGAGATGGATAACAAAAAAAGAATTGATCATTAATTTGAGTAAAACATATATTTGATTGAAAGCAGTCACAATGTTGAAAAAAACATCAGGAGAAAACATAAGTAAATAACTGGGGGAGGCCACTTGGCAAGACGTGAAGGGAAATTCCAGAGGCAGTATTCCATGCTTGACGATGGTGTCCAGAACAGAAAGGAAAAACTTCTTTGGATTTTCACTTTTATTTTTGTTGTATCTAAGTAGCTGAGCTTATGGACAAATATAAACTATCTACTGCACTCGCCCATACCTCCAGCAAAATTAGAGATAAAAAAATTTATGCTTCAATTGCACCATATGCAACATGTGAAAAAATGGATTACAGAATGCCCATATATGTTTCCTTGGATCTCTGTTGCTTTGAGTCCTATCTCCTGCCTTTTCAGATTTTCTCATCGTATTTAAGGAGAGTTAAGGTTCTTGAAACCAAAATGTTTAAAATTCCATTTCCTGCTTGCTCTAGCTCTTGATTTTTATATATTGAAACTTTTTTGAATATATGAGATGTTTAAAATATTTAAAATCATATGGATTATCATAAAAGACTATAATTTACATGCTTATATATTTAATGATATGTTTATAGACATTTCTTACATATACTTTGGTCTTTACCTTTAGTAAAGGATGCATCTTAGTCATTTTTGCAGGCAAGATGGATTTACTATAATCCGTCTACACTTGTTCACCCAATTCCCCTTGCAAACAATGGCATGAAGCTTGGCAGCTGACCCAGGGGTAGAACAAGATCCACAGGCTTCACAGGAACTGGGCCTGCCAGCCTGAAAGTAATTAGTACTTCATTCTCTCCAGCTCAGCCTCAGACTTGGAGACAGAGATACTGGCAGGACTATAGTGATCTGGGTTTTGGAAGAAACTGCTTATGAGCTTTTACTTGGGTCATAAAAGACATAAGGTTATAAGCTGATGTTTTCCCTGAAATATCTTTTTACACTGTATGTGTATGTGTGTATATCTATAGTGCACACACATATATATGTGTGTGTATATCCCAACCTAACAACTAAAAGTTAACTAATAAGAAAATAGACCAAAATGATATTGAGAATTCCTAGCTTTGTGATACTTAAAATGATACAGTGATACTTAAAATGACGACATATAACTAGCTTTGATGTGGCCTATTGCTCCTATTCAAAAAGCTTTTTCATCCTTGTCCCCTGGACACAAGGGCAATATGAAGCTGATGTCTGCTTCTTATTGCTCAACCCCGTTTTTGATTGATGTGCTGCTATTTCCTAGCAGTCCTCAGCCATGGTTTTTGAAGATGTATTTTACTGTATCTTCAAAACCTTTCTTCTGCATTCTCAGTTTACTGCTGTGTTAATTTTCTTCATGAGAGCATTTGACCTTATTCACTTACTGTTAAGTAATCCACCAAATTCTGGCATCTGTTCAATAATTTTGGCTACCCCAGCCAGTTTAGTGATATCCTGAGGCTTCCTAATGTATGTAGCTTCTTGCATAGAGCTGATAGCAGGTTAAATACTAGTCACAGTATAATCTAATTCTTGTTATGTAGACTTGATTCAAATGACAAAGAAGGACATCCAGCTTCTGCTAATAGTTTACATTTTGTGTTTTTCCTTTTTTCCTTACCCCCAACAGTGTACCTGACGAGGCAGATGACTATAACTCCCTAATTTATCCAGTAGTTTTAAGGAATACCATTCGGAGTAGAAAAGTAGCTCCAGACTAACCTGTGGTCAGTCAGTTGCTTCATCCCATAGTAATCAAACAAGGCTGAGATAGAAGTGGTCATTTGTTTCTAATGAGTTCTATTAAATATATGCTTATACTTAATTTAACCATATCTGTGATCTTTTCTTCAGCATGGAATCACCACTGTTTCACATGAGACTGTTCTACATCCTTATCATTTTTTTATTTACTATTTTCTGATTTTCAAAATGACAGTGGCGATTATGTTAGTAAACAGTACATCATTTATGGTATGTGCTATCTACATAAGCTGGTCCCTAACACAACTAAAATTCATTTTTCTACTTTAATGCTGCATCACAGAAAGTGTTTATTTTAAAATTAACTCCAGTCAAGGTTATATTCAACAGATTAATATTGAAACCAAACATACAGAAATCCACAAACAAGTTGGCGTATAACCAACAATAATAGAATCAGGACCATTTGAAGCAGATAAAAATAAAGATCTGTTTATACCTATTTATGATATTCTTTATCACTGCTTTCTAGATGTAAAGTGAATTTAGTGCTTATACTTCTTATGATGTCCCTTGAGCTCATGGGAAGTACTCTCCAACATATATGAGGGAATACAAATTAGTTTCTAACTGACATGTTAAATTTTTCTGTTTGAAGCAGTTTTTTAATTTAAGCAGAAAGTAAGTATAGCTCTGCTGGCCTTCATCATTGTTTCCTCTGTTCTATTGCAATCAGCAAAGCTATTTAAATCCAGCCAGGTATTTATGTCTAGTTTTAATAAGACACTAGACTAAACCTACAAAATAGACAAATTAGCCAGAAACTGTTCATTCAGAGAAAGGATGTATGGTATAAAGAGCACAGGAATGCAGGATCATGACAAATGCATGCGAATCCTGGGAAGCAATATGAATGACCCAGCAACCTCTGACTACTTTGCATAATTGACTCCATCAGTGAATCTGAAATTTAGCTTTCAGTTTTTCATAATTGTATATTTATAGTAACATCCTTCAAAAACTTTAAAGTAAAATGTAACAAATTACTGTTAAAAATAAAGAATATCTGTGTTGTACATTTAAATCATTTTAAAGAACTCTTAAGTATCTACATCAAGAGATATTTATATAGGATTGATATAAAATAAGGAATATATAAGAATTTAAATGGTACCTGGTTTGCATTTTTCTTAAAATGATTTAATGTACCTAAATTCTCACTTCTAACTTAGTAACTTTAGTGAATCACATCTGAATGTTTATTTTCTACATGATGGACTCTGCTAGAATGTTGTGGTATAACATTCTTATAGTTCTGTTGATGTTTATGTAATATTTGTTGCTGTTTAGGATCAACAATTGCACATGATACTTTATATTGAAATAAGACACTTACTGAATATTACTATTTTACTTCAAGTCTAATTTTAGTTCCAGAGAAGGCAGTGATGTTTTAAAGGCTTGGACAATTTTTTCTTTTTCTTTTATGCCAGGAAGATCACTTAAAAACAAATACTTGAGGTTTCTGGAAGAGAAATTTTTTAAAGTTAATTTAATTTGGCCTTTACTCATAGCATTAAAAATAAACTTGCTTTATTGACTTAAAAAAGCTACACACAGAATGTGTTCATATCATCCTACACTTTCAAAATGACTTTTAGAACGGTAGTCTTAGAGTACTACTTTAAATGAAATTCATGCTAGGCACTAAGCCAGACCTTGGACAGTTTAGTTGTTCTGAATTACATCAATAATGCTGCTGAATTATTCCAAATATTTTATGTATATTATGGCATAGAACTCCTTTGTATGTTAAATATAAAATATG